GGGAGGGGGGGGAGGATGGCGCCGTCCTCTTTGGAACAGAAGCTGTCCGGCTTGGAGGCCAAGCGGAACCGGGAGAGCAGGGAGGCCCGCCGGCGCATCGACCTCAACCTGGAGATCAGTCCGGCCCGGGCTCGGCCTAGTAAGGGAGGGGTTGAGCGGAGGAGTTCCTTGGGAAGGGGCCCTGCCTGGCTATCGCGGGCCCAGTTTGGAAGGCGCTCGGAGACCGACGGGTTGGGGGAAGGGAGATGCCGCCAAGGGGGCGGGAGGGACGGGGCAAAGGGTAGGGAACCGAAGCCAAGCCCTCTTTCCCTCGGCGTGGAGGGAGGGGGCGTCCACAAGCCCTTGTTGAGAAAGGAAGCTGGGAAAGGGGAAGCCCAGGAGCTGCGTCTTGAGGTAGGAAGAAAAATAAGGAAAAGAGTGGGAGGGAGGAGTTTATAGAAAGAGATGTGTGCGCTGAGTGGAAGTCCTTAAGATGGCATGGTGTGCATTATGAGGTCCCTGAAGCCCAGTGCCAAAGCTGTTCACGGCTGACTTAACCACGAGGTATAGGTAAAGAATTGACTGGGGGGGACCTACATGGACACATCCAAGTTTTTTAAACAGTGGGGGGGTTGTGTAACATATTGACAATAAACTATGTACATGGGCTGGATTCACAGAACACGTTAGGCTGATTTATGGTTGCCTAATTTATAGTTTGGTGAACACATGAACATGGGCTGTGTTCACATCTGTGAAAGATCAGTTGGGGCACAGGGAGAACATGGAGATGTACAGTTCAATGGATTTTTTAAAAAAACGGACCATGAAAGGATTACACTAAGGCCTAACAGATTCTTTTGATTTGCAATGGGGAGGAATGACAGTGGTGGGCTAAGTTTTAAATGGTTTTAAAACTCAGTTGTGTGCTCAAAAATATTTAGAGTCTGTCTGTTGGATTGGGGCCTCTTTATGTCTGGAAACAGTGAGACTAGTTCCAAGCTAAATATAGGATGTTTCGTATACTGTGCTTACAAAATTCTGATTTGGTTCTCACCAAGTCAGTTAAAGACTTAGCTGTTACACTGCATATGCATAAGATTCTAAGCTTGGGTATTTTTAAAAATTTCATACTGGGTTGGTTTTGGATGGTGGTAACGGTGATTTATTGTATTGTTTAAACTCAGAACATGGGTGAATTTGTTAAGCAGGATAAACATTTTGTTTGTATCCAGGCAGTAGTCAGGTTAAGTATGATTACTTTTAAGCTTGTACTTAAAAGCTTGTACTTTTAAGTTAAAACTGAAAGCTTGTTTTACCTACATTCGGATTCATATGTAGTTTTATTCATTTCCAGAACAACTGGTAGTCATCCTCCATTGCTTTTTGGTATATTGTCCTTTCCTTGCCTAATTCTTTGTGGGCAACGTTGATAAATATATAGTATCCACACACACTATCAATGATAGAACTGACTCAGAATATTAGAAGAATTATACTGAATTAGATGACTGTTCTATTCCATCTTTCTTTTCAAGTGTCTGGCCGACCCAGATGCCTATAGAAAGCCCACAAGCAGAATAGTATAGTAGCATCTTCATGCTTGTATTCCCCAGCAAACCACCGATAGTCTGATTGTTCATACATTTCTAAAGTAAGTCTCCATCAGTACATTTTGTGGACATGAATTCCATATTCTAATAATTTTCTTTTATTATTCCTAAAATCCCACCATGTAGGTACATTGGATGACCTTGAATTCCTTTTCTACTTTTTCTACATGTTGCATATGTTTATGCATGACCATCATGTTCTACCTTACTTGCTGTTTTTTGACTTGAAAAGCTTCCACTCTTACAAGATTTCCACATATGGATTTGTTCCAAGCCCTTAATTTGTTTGAAATGGGTCAGAATGTCATAACAGTGACAGATCATACAGTGCCAGTTTCAGTTTTGAGGCTCATTTGTGGTAAACCCACCTAAAATAATGTGTTCAGAGGGAACAGGAGAAGGATGGAATTGAGTATCCAGAGAGCAGAGGTGGTGAAACTATGATTCATCCAAAGTGGGTAAACTAAAATCTCAGATTTTTCATTAGTCATACTAGTTGGGGATCCTATGAGGAGAGATCCTGGTTGGGTCATTCTTGTGTGGAAGAGTACTATGTTTGCACAGTATGCTATGTATATAAAATCTATCCACATATATGACTGCCATATGGATGGCAGTTCCATCAAATATATATCAGTGGCTATCCCAGATAGCTATGTAAATCCCATAGGAGTTTTTGAATTTCTCTGTTGGATAGCAGTTTCAGATCCAGGTTGTCCTAGACATGAATGTGCTTAGTTTATTCCTGTTTAAATCTAGAATCTTGTATGATTATCACTCATGATAGGTTGTATTGATAGTTGTTTTCAAAAATGATTTAAGAATAAAAATCTGAACAGAGAAACAATACAATTATGCCTCCTCCTCTTTGTGAGTCTTATTGTAACTTTATTGTAATATAATGTAACATAGCTAATGGTATAATAGTAATGAATAGCTTGGTCTCCTACTAGATTAAAAGATTAAGTGATCTTCCTCATTGCCCATTGCTGTACTATTATCTAATAAATTAGAGTGGGCAGCTTTCCCAGGCTGGGGCTGCAAATCACTCTCCTGACCAGCAGGAGAGCTGTGGGTTATAATAGCAATAATACAAAGAAGGATGGAGCAAACTTTTGGCTTGGGTTGGCGGGGGTTAAGCGTGGGAATAGGAGCAGGAAACATCTGGGAAGCAAGCAACTCACATTTCTACTTTTAAAGTCCTCTTTCCAAAATGATTGAAAATAAAGCCACTGAAATTTGAGGACAAAATTTTAGGTGGTTTACCTTTCAGAGGCTGGCAGCTCAGATTGTTATCCTTATTTTTGAAAGGAGAGGAGAAAACCCAAAAAATAATGTCACAGAAAAGTGACAGTTTCCCAACAAAATTCCAGTAGTCTAGTTTTTGGGTGTGGAGGGCTACATGTGGGTCATCCAGCCTTGTAATAGTTAATTCACTGAAAACCTAGAGTGGAAAAAAACTTGTAGAGTATAAGCAATGATAGGTGTGCCTTGGTTTTCTGAAATAGAATAAGGCAAGATGTTTCTTAAATAGCTTTATTTGTTAGATTTATATTCTGAATTTCCTCCACAAGGTCAAGTTGACTTATATAGGGACTTTATTTCATTTTATCCCCACAGGCCTGTGAGGGGTTGTCTGAGAGAGAGTTGTTGGCTGAAAGTCACTCAATGAATTTCCATGGTTAAAAGTGGACTGGAACCTGGGTCTCTTTAGTCCTAGTCCAATACCTTTTGAAGTGAAAACAGACTTAAAAGGAGAAACAATATTTATGAAGTGTTTCATATTTAAGATACCAACTAGAACTGTGTATGCATTTCTGCCACATCTTTTTCTGGCATCATGTGGCATCTCCTTCATGCCCCGTATGCTCTGAAGCACCTTTTCAGTTTGAGTCTGAAGCACTTCATTGCCCTAATAACTACAGATAGAGAAATACAGGTGAAACTCGAAAAATTAGAATATCGTGCAAATGTTCATTTATGTCAGTATGGCAACTCAAAAGGTGAAACCAATATATGATGTTTGTACTGGTGAAACTCGAAAAATTAGAATATCGTGCAAATGTTCATTTATGTCAGTATGGCAACTCAAAAGGTGAAACCAATATATGATGTTTGTACTGGTGAAACTCGAAAAATTAGAATATCGTGCAAATGTTCATTTATGTCAGTATGGCAACTCAAAAGGTGAAACCAATATATGATGTTTGTACTGGTGAAACTCGAAAAATTAGAATATCGTGCAAATGTTCATTTATGTCAGTATGGCAACTCAAAAGGTGAAACCAATATATGATGTTTGTACTGGTGAAACTCGAAAAATTAGAATATCGTGCAAATGTTCATTTATGTCAGTATGGCAACTCAAAAGGTGAAACCAATATATGATGTTTGTACTGGTGAAACTCGAAAAATTAGAATATCGTGCAAATGTTCATTTATGTCAGTATGGCAACTCAAAAGGTGAAACCAATATATGATGTTTGTACTGGTGAAACTCGAAAAATTAGAATATCGTGCAAATGTTCATTTATGTCAGTATGGCAACTCAAAAGGTGAAACCAATATATGATGTTTGTACTGGTGAAACTCGAAAAATTAGAATATCGTGCAAATGTTCATTTATGTCAGTATGGCAACTCAAAAGGTGAAACCAATATATGATGTTTGTACTGGTGAAACTCGAAAAATTAGAATATCGTGCAAATGTTCATTTATGTCAGTATGGCAACTCAAAAGGTGAAACCAATATATGATGTTTGTACTGGTGAAACTCGAAAAATTAGAATATCGTGCAAATGTTCATTTATGTCAGTATGGCAACTCAAAAGGTGAAACCAATATATGATGTTTGTACTGGTGAAACCATATATTGGTTTCACCTTTTGAGTTGCCATACTGACATAAATGAACATTTGCACGATATTCTAATTTTTCGAGTTTCACCAGTACAAACATCCTAGTCTGAAATTTCTTTGGAGTGATGGTTCTCAATATGCAGAATAAACTGGGTTTTGTTTTGTTTTTTGCCCCTGTTTTCAGGTCTGTCAGAACTTTTTGTTTTGATCTGCAAAAGCAATAAGAAGTCATTATTTACTTGATGAATTTTTCTTGATCATTTAGTTTCCAATAGAGAATTCTTAGATTCTGAACTTTGTTTCTTATTAGTTGTCAGTCACATACTGTATTATAAATGTGGATGTTATTGCTACTTCTTTTAGAATCTGATGATAAATTGCTAATGTCAGTTTCCTAGTAAATGATAGTTTCTGGTAGAAGAAAGGAACTTTAAGAACAGAATAGAGTATATTTTATCCATATACAACGCCCTACTTGGAAGGGGCCCACCTGAAACTAAGGAAAATTATGCCGGGCAGTGCAGGATTATATAACAACTGCTCTAATAAGCTAACCGATGGACAGTGTTCATGACAATTGTGGTCTAAAATAACTGGAAAGCACTGAATCATCCTTTATCAATATCAGACCCAAATTGTTACCGGCCCGTAATTACAGTACTGTAATCCCATGCCAGAATGCTTGCAGCTTGAACTAATGGGAATTGTATCCAATATTTGGAGATCTAAAGTTGGGAGCGAATGAACCAGGTGATCCAATTTAGTTTGTCCACCTCAGTGAAAGTTTATATTTTAATAAAGTAATGATTATGGCGTACAGCTTATGAAAACCCCAAATTCACAATCTCAGAAAGCTAGTTTATATTCCTACTAGCAAAATAATTTACTATGTTTTACTATATTTTTTATCATTTAAGGGCAGAGTCAGATCTTTATTAAAATGCTACATTTGTGTTCATCTTTTTATAGTTCTGTCAGTGTACCTGGGTAAATAACTTTCAATGATAATAAGACATCTTTGTAATAAATCTACAGATTGCTTCTAATTTTAAAAGCTGGAGGTTACTGTTTAAAGGCTTGCTTAGTGCCTCTTAGTGAGCTGCCTTTGTTTAAGTTATCAAATATTGATGTACCTCTGATGTCTGTACTATTGAAGCAAAACTCTGGTGGTGTTTTCTGTACCTATTGATCTTAAATGTTTATGGTAGTTGTGAAGTATTTTCATAAAAGCCAAAGTGTTGTAGATATACTTTTGTATTATCTTTTTATACAACGCGACCTTCAGGTGAGGGGGATAAATAAAAATAGAATCAAATAGACTATTATTAGTGTCTGAGCTAATTAGTGTATGTAGTAGCAGGTTTTGATCACTAAAAGTAGATAAAACTGGGTATAAGCTAGACAAAAATGGATAGACAAATGAGGTTTAGAAATGGAGGACAATTAAGTCTTTGAAACTCCAAGGTTTATATTAAGTATGAATTGAAAATAAATTTTAATCCTGTTATTCCTTTTAGATAAGATGATCTAAATGACTTTCTGGTATAGAGGCTTATGGATACATTTTATATCAGAGAAATATGTGTGCTCAGTGCTAAGCTTTCACAAATTTCCTAGATACCTTGGAATTTAAAAATTCTTGTGCTGCAGCGGTACTTAAAACACTGAAGTAGGAGTTTGGAATTTAGTTAGTAATTTGTAATCTTGGTAGTTAACTTTGCCACTAAATGTTAAAAAAATGATCTAAGTCCTACTGATATATAAAGAGAGTTTGAGTAAACAGATAACACAAAAGTGACACAAACGTTTGGTGCTTGTTTTATTTCTTTCACAAACAAGGTAATCCAACATGCAACGTGCCAGGGTGTAAAATTATTTCCCTCCCTAGTTCAATCAATTCAGTTAAAAAGTTAACTAGGGCCAATTGTGTGAATACGTCAATAAACAATCAGAGTTGATTTGTACCAGTTCTGCCTTATATGAATCTCAGAAATCTCCCCTCATCACTGAAGTTTTCACCCCGCAGATTCTAGAGGAATATCATGACCAACTCAAAAGAAATTTCTGAAGGCCTCCATAAAAAAAGGTCATTGATCCCTGTCAGTCTGCAAAAGTTCTGGAACTCCATTAATTCAGAGTCAGAAAGGTATGATCCTGAAGAATAATAGTGAATCTTTCAAGAATTGCTGACCTGTCAAAACCACTCCAAGAGCACAACATAGAATCATCCACAAAGTCACAAAGAACCTCATAATATCTGGCGATCTGCAGGCTGCTGTCATCTTAGTTAAATCAGTGTTCATGATAACATCAGAAAAGCATAGAGCAAAAATGGGATTCATGAGATTAGCAAGGCAAAAGCCGTTGCTCACTAGGAAGAACATTGATGCTCTTCTCATGTTTGCCAGAAGAGCATCTAGGTGATCCTGTAGACTTCTAGAGGGCTGTTCTATGGTTATATGAACAAAAAATGGAACTTTTCAGGCTATACTGTATGTGTGTTGTTATGCCTGTCAGAAACCAAATACTTTATTCCATAGTTGTCATAATTTGGGAATGCTTTGCTGTATTCTGGATGGCTTGTTGTTATTGAAGGAAGCATGAATCCTGTCCTGTATCAGAGAATTTTAAGGGATTATTAGGCCATCTGCCACCAGCTGAAACTGAAGTGCAAGTGCATCATTCAACATGATAGCGATCTCAAACATACAAGCCTACAAAAGATTGATTAAAGAATAACATCATTTTGGAATAGTTAAAGTACAATCAAAATCCCATTGAAATGTAATGGCAGGAAAAGAGCAGTTTGTGACAGAAAATTCCTAAGGGCCATATTTCAGGTAGTCCCTTGTATTCCAAATGTAGTATTGAGGGAAGCAGGGTTGTCCAAAGTTGAAACAGGTGCATGGATTTGGATTATAGCACATTGGCTGAAACTACTGTTTTTCCTTATAGGCTTGGGTTCTTTCCTTATTAAGGACAATTATAAATCAGTATGGTCCAGGACTATCTTACAAAACCTCCAACGTCTTGGCTTTTCTAGGGAGGCATTCCTAATGATGGGCTATCAGTGTGCGCTTAGTGAATTTAAACAGCGTATCAAAGACCTGGAAGTCCAGCAGGACCAGTCTGTTCTACCTAAGAATGTTTTTCTGAGCAGTCAAGCCTTTTTTTATAAGCCAGCGAGATACCTAAATTACATAACTGTCTCCAAATTTTAGAGGGCACTAACTCTCGCACACTGTAATGCTCTTCCTACAGCAGTTTTGGAGGGCTGATACAAAAAAGTCCCATATGAGCTG